TTGTCACATGTGGTATTGTTGTGAATGTGTCATGCATTCTGTTCTATAAACAAATATATGATCACTGCCTTTAATGTCATATATTAACACAATATGAAGCATTCTTGTTCTGAAGCTAACACTGACACTTCAGATGTGTGCTAGCACAAACATAAAATAGAATATCACCAGTCTGTTCCTTTTTTAAACTAATAAACCTCATTCAGAGAAGGCTAGAATAACTTCTGAGAGTTATTTTATTATCACTCACATTTTGAAACCACCTTCCTGTTGTCTGTTAACCAGTACCTTGTTCCCTGACAGTGTCATTCATGTAGTCTGAGAGAAGAGTGATGTTTAGGGTGACTACCTGACTTTAGGTGTGTTTGAATCATTGGCTGCAGATTGCAGGAACTGATTCAAAAATAGTTACACTTGTGATTAAACCATGTTTAATGAAATATGTAATACAGCCCACATCAGAAAACATTGATTCACTTCCAGTTAAAGAGTGTATTATATATGGAGGTTTTTTTTTTATCCAACTTACTCTTAAATTTATTTCAGCATACCATCAAAGGATGTCAGAAGAAATTAGAAAGAATACAAAGGAAGGAATATGTTGATCAAGAATGAGGGAATCTTTCCCACAGTTCAAATCTGCTCTGATATTGTAGTAGACCCATTACTAGGTAACGACTGCGATACAAACATGTTCCCATGGCAGTGAATCCACACCAAAGAATAGAGAAACTGTTGGAAATGGGTATTTTGTATGCAGTCCATGCCAAGATGTTATAAGCAGAACAATGGGAGCAAGTCTGGCAGAAGTCACCCGTGTGGAGCCGGGGTCGAATACCTCCACCATGACCCTGTGAGTTGTAGGAGGCAACGAAAAGAGAAGTCTCGAATCTGAGACAGCAAAATATGGTAGTGAGTCCCAAGGGACTTGTACCCAAGAAAGACTGTGCTGGCAAGGGCCAGCAGCATGTACAGAAGACAGTCCCGCCCTCTCATCAGAGAGGGCACCCCAGAAGAACAAAACCGTAACTATCAAACAGTAATAAATATCTGGTCATAAGCCCCAGGAGGGTGCTTGATAGCAAGACTTACTGACTGGCTGTCACTCACAATGTGACTTTGACTTTGACTAGTCTGGCAGTCTGTGAAGAGAAGACTTAGTTCGAGCAAGAATCCAGCTGTGGAACGTTAGCCTGCGATCGATGATGTGAGCACAGAAGCTGAAGAATCTCTTGTTGAGATATATTACCACCAAACTACCAGTGAAAGCAGACTCTGATGATGATTCTGGTATTGTTGCATGTTTACACAGATGGAGGCAATGGCTGTTTCACATGACTCCCTTACTCTAGCTGTCAGGCCTCATGTCACATTGCTCCCTCCTCAAGGCTGCTCATCCCAAGTAGCCTATCAGTGTATCACCATTTCTTCTGTTTACTGGGAGAATGCCTGGAAGGGGCCAGTGCTCCTACAGTGATGCCACAGAAGCTGCTAGTAGTCTCTTCTTCTGTTTGGGTGGAGGCTGACACCTCCACAATGTTCAGTCACTTACTTTCTGCAGCCTGATGGAAAACCAAATTGGCTGTTCCACGACCTCAATTCTGAGAGTCTGCCTGACAGTCTTGTTGAATGCCTCTTGCTTCCTAAACGTATCTGCTTTGTTTTAGGCCGATGTCCCTTATGTCGTTGTTGCATTCTGGGCCCTTCCATCATCTCTTCTCAAATGTCGGTCTTCTATGATGACTGCGGCTGTTACACAGTGCAAGGCCGGCATGGCAGATCTACTGTATGTGGGCAATGGCAGACTTCTGCTGAGACCCACCATCTCTCAGGGTGTTTCTTCAGCCATCTGCGGCGCTTTATGGCCAGACACCAGCCCCCATATCGGTCCTAATGACATATGAATATGTCATTAGGAATGTCCTGGAAAGTCAGGCGAGACTAAAATTAAATGGGACATATTACCTGTTGGTCTGTGCTCATGATGTTAATCTACTGGGTGATAACATAGGTACCATAAAGAAAAACACATAAACTTTGACACCAGTAGGAGGTTGGTCTAAAAGTAAACACAGGGAAAACTAAGTATATGTTGCTGTCTCATGTTTTGAAAATATGGCACAGTTCAGATATCTAGGAATGAAACTAACAATGATTCAGGAGGAAATTAAGGGGACAGTGAATATGGGTAACGCTAGCTTCAGTTCAGAAACTTTTGTTTTCTCATCTGCCGTCTAAAAACATAAGCATTAAAATATACAGAACTACAATTTTGCCTATGGCTCTGTATGGGTGTAAAACTTGGTCTCTGACATTAAGGAGAGGAATATAGCCTGATGGTGTTTGAGAACAGTGTGCTGAGAATATTTAGACCAAAGAGAGATGAAGTGATGGGAGATTGGGAAAAACTGCATAATGAGGAGCTTCATAACTTGTGCTCTTCATCAAATATAATTAGAGTGATCATGTCAAGGAGGATGAGATGGACAGTTCATGTAGCACGAATGGGGCCGACGAGGAATGAATGTAGGATATTGGTGGGAAAGCCAGAAGGAAAGAGACCACTAGGAAGACCAAGACATAGGTGGGTGGACAATATTGAAATGGGGTGGTATGGACTGGATTGATCAGGCTCAGGATAGGGCCCAGAGGAGGGCTCTTTTGAACATGGTGATGAACCTTCAGGTTCCATAAAATGCTAGAAGTTCTTGAGTAACTGCACAATAGGCGGCTTCTCAAGAAGGGCTCAGCTCCATGAAGTTATTTAGTTAGTTATAGAAGTGGTTTCGGATTAAATTATTGGACACTTTTACAGCTCATGACTACACTTCACTGATTACTGTCACACAGACTAGTGTTCTCAGTCACATTGCTTGGCAGCAGCTTCGAACAGCGGATGTTCCTTTGCTCCTGGGCTAACGTTCTTACAGGTTGGTAACCATCTCATGCTAACCTCATACTCTGACTGCTGGCTTCAGCTGCTAGCTCCCAGGCTAAACTGAACTCCGGACTGTGTAAAAAACACCACTTCCAAAAGTTCCTCTGTTGTCACATGTGTACATTGCTTAGCGATGGCTCTGGCATTGTTGTATGTTTATACAGCTGCTGCCTAGTGCCGTTTCTCTAGCTCTCAGGCCTCATGTCACAATGTTAACCTTAAATAATGAGGGATACCCATATCTTCTTAATCTCTGTCATACCTAGAAATGCTCATAAGAAACATATATGGGTTTATAACATTAGACATGAAAGTGTGTGTATGCAGATAATACTACAAATTTTGTGTGCATAAAAGAATTAAGTACTTTGGTTTTAATTTATCATTCTGGTACTCTTCATTCATGTAGTCATTACTGTTTAGATAAATCCGGAGAAATACATAACCTCAAATGATTGTTTTTATATAAAAGTTGAATATGTGCACAATTTCTTATATGCTTCATTTCTATGGTAGACAAAATTTAAAAATGACTTTTTAACTTCTAAAATTATTGTTGAAATTATTTTAAAATTAGTATATTACTTAAAAACATTCCACACAAAATTACTGAACCTAAGTTTCTTATATTTTACATCTGTATGACTAATTTTTTTTATTGCTAGTGGGGTGGGACTAAGACCCTTGTACTGTGGCCACTTCTGGCCTATTTTACCAGCCCCAGATGATAGGTGAGGGTGATTGTGGAGCAATTGGTGGAGAAAACCGAAGTACTTGGAGAAAACCTGCCCCAGTGCCACTTTGTCCACCACAAATCCCACTTGACCAGACCCTGGATCAAACCCAGGCCGCCACGGTGGGAACCCAGCAACTAACCGTTTGAGCTATGGCACGGTCAGCTGTATGACTACATCAGCAGGTAAAGTTTTTTACTGTTCAATGACAAACGAAAGAATTAACATGAATGATTAGTTCTGGAGGGAAAATTTCATGGATTACTTCAAGGTACTATTACTAAAACTGGGGCATGCAGTAGCATAGTTGGTTGAGGCACTATGCTACAAGCTGGAAGGTCACGCGTTCGAGTCCCAGTGAGGTGGAATTTTTCAATTAACCTAATCCTTCCAGCTGCACTATGGCCCTGGGGTCAACTCAGCTTTTAAAAGAAATGAGTATCAGGAATCTTCCTGGGGGGTAAAGGGCAGCCGGTGCGTAAGGCTGAGAAATTTAGCGCCATGTGTGAGACAACTGTCTAGAGATAATGTGGAAGCCTCGATGTCTCTCAACTCTATGGTCCTTCATGGCCTGTTACAGGGATAGCTTTAATTTTTTTTTTATTATTATTACTAAAACCACCACTGGGGCATTCGGTAGCAAAGTTGGTTGAGGCACTATGCTACAAGCTGGAAGGTCGCGGGTTCAAGTCCCGATGAGATCGCTGGATTTTTTTCAATTGACCAAATCCTTCCAGCCTCTAGCAGAAATGAGTACCAGGAATATTCTTGGGGGTAAAGGGCAGCCAGCGTGTAGGGCTGACAACCTTACCCTCATCTATGAGCCGATTGTCTAGATAATGTGGGAACCTCAACGTCTCACAACCCCATGGGCCTCCACGGTCTGTTACAGGGATAGCTTTACTTTACTTTTACAATAACCACCACTACCACTATACAAATATTTCAACAATCATTGGAGAAACTGCTAAGGGAGGACAGCAGATGAATTTTTAAATCCATTACTTTAGGCTAATTATTTACTGTTGTTTTAATAAAAGCTTTATTTCTCTATTATTTGCATTCTGAATCATATGGATAAACTGAAGACCTTTGTGCTCCCTGAAATCAAGTTTCATAAAACAATTAATAAAGGAATAAAGACTATGGTTTGGCCAGTTTAGAGGACTTATCCTTTCACAGCATTATGCATGATGGCACATTTATATATGAACTGCACTGATTAACTGTCTTTGGCTTGATCTTCTGGGCTACTCTGTGATAAGTTATGAACAATCAATTAAGCAAATCTTAATTTTTAATGTGCCTATTTAAGTCAGTATCGTATCATTTAATTCATAGATTATTTAATTTTTTATTCCAGTTTCTGTACGATCTGTTTCTGAGTTCACAACTCCATAAACATAACTCTCATACATAAGGCAATAATAATTTACTGCCTCCAGTTATTCAACACATCTGTAAGCTTTTAAATATATATCACACAAAATTTGATAGTATCAATCAATGAAATAACATATAATGGAGCACCTTTAGCAGGTTAACAGTTTATAAATCTATAGTTTATTTAGTACTATTCAGTACAAGATCTGAGGATGTAACAATCTGCAGTATATAAGGAGAGGATGTGTGTCATGTAGAACTCTGTAAAATTCTCACACTTTCTCACAGAACACAAATTTCTCTTCATGAAGTTAGGAGAGAAATGTAGTGGCCATTCTTCAAAAGATACGCCTGGTCACCTCTCTCCACTTTGTAAGTGATTTGGAGCATCAGCGAATGTAAATTTCAAACGATATGCTTCAGCAACCAGCATACCAATTTCAGAGTCACTCCAATTTTGTGTTGGTAGATTCTGCAGCATCAACATGAGGCCCTAGAAAAAATAGTTATGTTTTAATGTGAATTTGTGAGTGCAGAGCACCAAATTTTTGCATTAAGCAGTGACCTTAAACACTAGGAAATCTGCAGTATGGGAAAAAATGCATAAATAAGACCCATAAATCTCTGCTTGTGCTTATACCAAGCCCTGTGTGTCACTACTGACTGCCTCTGTGGTCTAGTGGTCAAAGTTCGATTATAGGTGCTACCAGATTTTCTGAGAAGTAGTGGGTCTGGAACAGGATCCACTCAGCCTCGTGAGGATAACTGAGGAGTTACCTGAATGGAAAAAGCGCCAGCTCTGGTCTAGAAAGCCAAAATTAACAGCCGTGGGGATACGCTGCATTGACCACGCAACGCCCTCTATCTGCTAAAGTTGGCACTAACTTCGCCGACAAGCGGTGGTTGCTCAGTTTGTATAGTTTGTTTGCATACTAAAGTCACAGAGTTTGTTTGTATGTATCGCTGCTTATACAACGTGGGAGAACAAGATGCCTGACCACCAAAATGAGGCACAGTGAGGTGTAGAATATAGAAAGAACTGAATATATGCAGAAAGATGCTGATGTAGAAGTAGTACAGTTATGTTAACAGGCATTACATAAATCAGAATGTTAAGTGCTACCTAGTAGTTTCATTACTATATTAACATATAAGCGAAGGTGGTGTAGTTGAAATAAAATACTTCACAAAGATATTCTGTTTCTGATGAAAACTCAGCCTAAAATTGACTTATTTGAATCCACGGGAGACTTGTAAAGAGACTGAGTAATAGATGTCGAGGAAATACAATATAAAGGTTTTAACTACATTGGCTGTTGATATGTTTCACATACCAATGTTCAAAGATGATTACAACTACTGAGCTGCTTGTAATAATATTGTATTGAATGTGAAGCTCTGAAGCTGTTGAGAGATTTGTTTTAATTGTATGGTGGATCCTCATCTCTGACCTAATATGGGATGAAATTTTTTAATTAGGTACTTCCAGATATAAAATATTTGTGACATATTTTCAAGGATATTACATACTTCATTAATTTTCATTTTAATATTGTTTAATTTTAACAACTGTACTGAATCCTTAACTAACCTGTTTCTATTTCTTAATTACCTGAAAGTCTTTTTCTACCAGTAGCTCCCTTCGCCAGTGCAAAAGAAAGGCTGCACATACATACAGCTGAAATGAGGCAAACCCATCTGATTCTGCCAGGTACGTATCCCACAGACGGATGGTGCAGTGTAGAGGCAGTTCACGGGTTAACAAATTGTTCATCCATCGAAATGAGAACTGGAGGTAATCAACTCCATGATGCTGAAGATGTCGATGCAGAGGACCTAAAATATAAATGAACAGTACAGAACGGTTTGTTAACTTTGCTAATTTTTATGTTGTAATGCTTTCTACTTTATTTGCGTAGTTGTAAAATTCCATGCCATGAAGACATACGGGAACTATGAAGTTAATCTTGACACCGGAAAATGGTGAATAGACAGCTTCAAACTTGGCAACTTTACTGCCACAGGAAGTCTCTCCTAGTTTGATATGAGACTGGCTGACATGGCAGTATGAAAAATTACTGCTCTCCTACTTTGAATCAAATTCTGGCCATTGAGTCTGTAACCCATCACTTTAATGAGCTGTCATGATATGTCACACTTTCAGTAATTCTAATTTACAGATTTTTCTTGCATTATCCTTAACATGGTACCTTTCCATTATATTCTGAAAGGAGGGCGTGTGCTGCTTTTGTTTGTTATCTATATTTTTATCTCCAATATGATGAAAGAAATGAATAAATTTTCACTTCGGAGTTTAAGGATTTCCTTCATATTGCTCTCAAAACGGCATAACTGATATATTTTCTCAGAAAGATAAAATGTATTCACATAAATTCATCATGATTACTACATTTATGTGAATCTAATTTGAATTTTGAATAATAAAGATTTCCAAACTGAGACTCTTATGAAAGAGAAAAAGGGAAGAAATTACACTATTCAACAAATCAATTTTATATTGTTAGGATATTGGTGGGAAAGCCAGAAGGAAAGAGACCAATGGGAAGACCAAGGCATAGGTGGGTGGACAGTATTAAAATGAATCTTAGAGAGATAGGATGGGATGGTATGGATTAGATTGATCTGGCTCAGGACAGGGACCAGTGGAGGGCTCTTGTGAACATGGTAATGAACCTTCAAGTTACATAAAATGCTGGGAAATTCTTGAGTAACAGCAGAATTGGCAGCTCCTCAAGAAGGGCTCAGCTCCATGAGCAAGTAAGTAAGTAAATTTGTTGAAATGTCTTCATAGGAATACTCTAAGTTTCCATACAAACCCTTGAAATAATCAACCACAACATGAACAAAAAATTGTATTGCCCGATGAGATATTCTCACCATAACTTCACTAAATAACAAATGTATCATTCTATCTGCATGTTTTTTCAGTGTGTTCACTGCCTATCAGGCATCATCTTGCAGTGAGGAATCAGACTGATTGCATATCTTTTATGTCAGTGTTCTATTCAGCCTATAAATACATATCCTCAGTATTATTACAGCACATGAATTTAAGACAATGCTTAATTTTCAGATACCAAATCAAGAATAAACTCATTATCTTTTACTTATTACCTAAACGGTAAAATCCCAGGTTAGAGAATGGTTGAATCAAGATCCCTGTGCCTTTTATCTCTCTCTCTCTCTTTCCATAATACTAAAACTTTATACATGTGGGGACTATCAAACTCCCACCACACTTGAGATCCTAAGTTATGCCATAGGTTTCCTCTACCATCCATCATCGTATCATTGTTAAGGTTTGAAGAGGCACAGTGACTGAATAAACCACAACTGGATTCAGGTTACTATTTAAATTATATCTAAATTCTTTTCAAGTATTATAAATGACTCATAACTGATTCTAGTTTTGATTTTCACATTCTTTCTACTTAAGATATTTTGGCTTCAGAACTTCTAAGGTCACATTTAACAACAATATTTCACTTTCAAAATTACAATTAGTCCAATCTCAGAAAAAGCATAATCATTTCAATTATTTCATTAATATATATTTCCATCACAATGCAACACAAGATTGTTACAATAACTTTAATCTTTATTAATGACATGTTTTGGCTGCATACGGCCATCATCAGGCATCCTTGTTATGCTAAACGGTTCTCTACACTGCTTCTCTCAATTTTAAAATTAAAATTAAAATAGGTGGCCCCAATTAATTTAGTAAAAACGGTTTACTGCCTCGCTTAATACAATTCTTACCATCAATCCTCTGAATAAGTTCCTTTAACTGATTCACTTTATGTTGGATGCCTAGTTGAGCAAAGATGTAATTATCTTGGATTCCATCCAAGAACTTGGAGAGGCACCAGAAAGAATCAGCTTCAATAATATCACGTTGTTCTTTTGGTAATGACGACACTTCCCAGTTATCCAGATCTCCGTCTGAGAATTAAACGTGCTTTAATGAAACCATTCAGTTTATGATAGTTTAAAACATAAACTATCTCGAGCTGATCCTTTCACAGCAAATGTTTCTTAGAATAATATTAAAATCTGAAAACACATGGACACTAAAATCTGTTATCCATCAAAAAATAATTCTTAAAAATACCAAATTTTCATGAAAATTGCACCAAAAGGAATATCTATACCTGCTGGTATAACTTCCTGAAGGAAAACTACATAGAAGGGAGTAACCAGGTCATTAATGCCCTGCACATAACCTGAAGCAGGATGGCGAATTGCCCAGATAAATAAGATTCTCTCGAACATCTCTTGGACTGTCTTCTGTTGGAACAAGGCTATTAAAGGACTCATTCGAGGAATGTCTATGTGAATCTGAAAAATTAAACAGACCACAAAATTGTCATCACTGGAACAAAGTAAAATGTTTTTATCATACAGTTGCATAGCTCTCAGACTTTCAGTTACTGTATCTGATGAAATGTAAATACAACAAAGTTCAGTAGACCATAACAATTTAAATGCATAAATGGTAATGATTTTGGAATGAAAAATATTTCTATATGTATTAATGGCTGCCATTTAGGTTGCTGCACATTCACAAACCTGCCTATATATGTCCTGGCGAGTCTCATCTCGCTCGGTGTCGTAATACTGTTTCACTAGATTCCGGTAATCCAACCTCTTTCTTTCTAATACCTGCTGCCTTCGTTCAAAGTTTGCTGGGAGATAGCCCTGTTACGAATACATAATTTTTATCATTCCTTCTAAAATGACAAGCAATGCAGTAGCATTAAAACAACCAAGACTGCTAGCTTTTTGTCCTATGATTCTATACTTTTATATAAATGATGAACACTATAATGGCACAGAACTATTAGGCTTATTACAGACTATATCTATCATCTGGTATATATAAGACAAAAAAACCATGTTTCAGAGACTGGATCTGTCTCTGTCCTCAGGTGGATGGGGCAGGATAGACCTACTCAGTTGGGCCCATTAGAAAGAGCTAGTCTCAATCACTGGACTAGTTCTTTCTAACGGGCCCAACTGAGTAGGTCTATCTTTCCCCATCCACCTGAGGATGGAGACAGATGCAGTTTCTGAAAAGTTGTGGTTTTTTGTCTTATATATACCAGACGATGGATAGAGTCCAAAATGAGCCTAATAGTTCTGTACAGCATACATCATCGTCAGAATCCTTTCAAGACTACAATGGTAATTAAATAAAATGAACTGAGGTTATTCACCGAGAGAAGGCGCCAAGTAATAGCTCGCACTTTCACAGGAATTCCTGACCAACTTAGTTGTCGCAACTCTTCGAGATTCAACAGTTGAGTTTCCAGCAGAGGCTGAAATCTTTCAAGCTTACTTGTTTCACAATCGGCTCCTGAAGCATATGCATGAATGCAAAACAGAAAGCAGAAACATACATTTATATGAATAGCATAATAATCCCACAAATGTTCTTGGAACATTAAGTTTAACAGGCATTTCTGGTACACAACCTTAATGAAGTAAGTACATGTTACCAACCTTCACGGGATTGAATATGAAACTTAGATCTTCCTGTATTGCCTCGCAGAGGTTGTGGACGTCCTGGAAATTGCCTCTGTGAATGGGGTGAATTTGGCACTTGAGGTGTGGAAGTGCAGTGTGCAGGAGAGGCCATCTGTGGGTCTACAAAACAGGTGACATGTACTGTCATATCATACCCTGCATTGTCAGTTGTCCTCATATTCATATTGAAATCAATCATGAAGACTGCCTGGCAAACAATGGATGAGATATGCCTAAAAACGCTTTGCGGTGAACTCGAAGAAAGGTCGGTGTAATTCACTGTAGACGGGATATTACTGTAAATATTTGTGTAACACTCTTACTTGGGCCGTGCCATAGCTCAAGCGGTTAGTCGCTGGCTTCCCACCGTGACAGTCCAGGTTCGATCCCACGGTCTGGTCGAGTGGAATTCGTGGTGGACAAAGTGGCGCTGGGCCAGGTTTTCTCCGAGTACTTCGGTTTCCCCCGCCAATTTTCATTCCACCAACTGCTCCACAATCACTCTTACCTATCATCTGGGGCTGGTACAATAGGCCAGAAGTGGCTGCAGTACAAGGGACTTAGTCCCACCCCACTAGCAATAAAAAAAAAAAACACTCTTACTTAAGTGAACAAAGTGGCGCTGGGCCAGGTTTTCTCCGAGTACTTCGGTTTCCCCTGCCAATTTTCATTCCACCAACTGCTCCACAATCACTCTTACCTATCATCTGGGGCTGGTACAATAGGCCAGAAGTGGCTGCAGTACAAGGGACTTAGTCCCACCCCACTAGCAATAAAAAAAAAAAAAACACTCTTACTTAAGTGAACAAAGTGGCGCTGGGCCAGGTTTTCTCCGAGTACTTCGGTTTCCCCTGCCAATTTTCATTCCACCAACTGCTCCACAATCACTCTTACCTATCATCTGGGGCTGGTACAATAGGCCAGAAGTGGCTGCAGTACAAGGGACTTAGTCCCACCCCACTAGCAATAAAAAAAAAACACTCTTACTTAAAATGAATCTATTCAGTATATTACCTCTGTGTGATGCTAAATACTGCAGTGCCTCTATCTTCTTTTCCTCAGACACTGTAAAGTCGCAAGGCTTCAAAGCAGGTGAAGTCTCCCCAGCAGATGGGCACCGATGACTGTTTAATACACTCAAGGCAGCTGACTGTGCCACTTTCTTGGAAATTTTCACATCTAAAAGTAAGGTATTCAATAATAACCACCACAAGTATTAAATATCTGTCCCTTAATTGATTATAAAAAGAAATTAAAGGGTACCTGGGGATAACAGTCAAGGTCACCCAAAGTCACAAAATGGGTCAGTTGTATTATCTCATGGTATATCCTTAGTGCTACTGATTAGTTGAATAAGGTGTCTGAATAAATGGTGAAAATTAAAATACACATTAAAAAAAAGTCTGTTGCCTGTAGTCTGTGAAGTTAGTACCAACTTTTTGCGGACAGGGGTTGTCATGTGGTAAGCGCAAAGGACCCCCACAGCTGTTTATCTCGGTTTCCTAGAGTGGAGCCGCTATTTCCTTGAAATAACTCCTCAATTATCCTCACGAGGCTGAGTGGACTCTGTTCCAGACCCACTACTTCTCGGAAAATATGGTAGTGCCAGGAATCAAACCTGAGATGTCTGGATCTGTAGCCAGAAACTCTGACAGCTAGATCACAGAGGCAGTCAATTAAAATACACATGCCCACAGAAATTGAAACAAAAGAAAAAAAAAGTGACTGGTGTAGTTACATTTTACATAAGACACTCGTTTTTAAAATGTGATAAAAATATAGATCTTGTTAATCAGAAGTGTGTAGGAGAATTTTCTGAACGCAGGTAAGATGCTGCTAAGCGTTAGCACAAAACCTGAGCCCTTCGCTGCGACTGCAAACAGAAATATTCCTTATCAAGAAGGAATAACCTCTTCTGGCTCTTTGTCAGTCTTACAATGCACCTTCTTAATCTTAATAAGCTAGAACTTTGAATAAGCCAGTTAATTCATAACAACATACAATATCATGTTCATTATTATTTTCTTTCATGTTCACATAGAATATTTATATTGCAGTTCTGTCAAAAATGCAACCACTTTATTCCTCAGAATTTTCACTTTTTAGAACATGTTTAGGCCCCAGCCAGCCATCATCAGGTACTTCAATTCGCCAAAACCATTACCTGCATTGAATATTGGTAGTACATTTCACGTGTAACTGCATTGTGACATATTATTGTTGTGATTACGATCCAGTAACATTAGCCAATCCACCATACACCGTGACTCACTTTCTATTACAATTAACTAAAATTTCATTAAAATTTTTAAATTCAATTTAAATTTAAAATTTTGTACACTTTCTACACCTCTCTAGGGCTGGTTGTGGCTGAAACATGTAAAAAATGAAACTTCTAAGGAATAAAGTGGTTGCATTGTTAACGGAACTGTAATATAAATATTCTATGTGAATGTTACAGAAATGAAACAGGATGCTTAAATACAATATTTCTTTCATGTTCTAAGAACCACAACACTTTGTCTCAGTGCACATTTTATACTTCATCTTCCCAAGAATATTACAAAAAACTTGCAGTGATTAGAGACAATTATGACAATTATCAGAGAAGTAAAATATCATGAGATCTCTATCAGTGTTAATTATTATAACTCTTCATAATTATTTATCATTTTCTTTTGAAGAGTTTTTATTCAGCTTCAATTTTACACTCCTAAACTGTTTATTACAGATGCTCCATGTAAGCAACACCAGGGAACAGAGTCATGCAAAATTTCCCTCTTCTCAGCCTACACTGAAATAACTTCCAGGTATTGCTGGTGACTTATGACATATGTGTACAAAAATGCAACCCTTAACTGCCCCCTGCAAGTGAAAAAACTGAAGTCAGTGATTGGATATTGATGATATTTACAATTTTTTTTACATATTATTGTTCCCCCCTCGTTGGTGTCTCCACCTTATCGTGGTGAGGGGGTTTGAGTATGCCAAGGACCCTGAGGGCTATACCAGCGGTAAAGTAGCTACTGGCAGGGCCTCCCTTGCTGGACAGGTCAAAGGGTAGGCTTCAGATGAAGAGAGACACCAAAAACCCAAAACTGATGCCGGAAGCAGCATCATCAGTAGCGACTTGAAGCACAGAACAAATGATGCTCGAGTTCGTATAGCAACAGGCGTGACCAGAGTGGTTTGAACGGCTGCTGTACTGCGATGTGGAAAGCAAATGGAAAAACTACCACATTATCACTTTTCCTGGATAGTCTCTTTCCAAAAACAGAAGAGCGCATTAAGTGGAGGAACTGTTTTGGAAGAGATTGTGGACCTGTCGTCTGACAGATTACTGATGAATGAATGAATTATTGTTCCTTGTATAGCAAATGACCCAGAAATATTTCTCTTATTCAATAAACAGTAAAAAGGAGCAAATTCACAAACTATTACTTTGTTGCATTAGCAGTGTGAATGAAAGTTGTTACTGTTCACAGTTTAGGGAGCCAGGATAGTGCAGTTGGTACAGCATCTGGCTACGGGCTGGACAACTGAGGGTTAAGAGTCCAAGTCCTGGTAGTGTCAAGAATTTTCTTTTCTTCGCATTGTCCAGACCAGCTCTGGGGCCCAACCTATCTAATGGGTACTGAGGGCTCTTTCCATTGGGGTAAAGCGGCCAGAGCATGAAGCTGACCACTCACCTCCAACTAGTGCCGAGGTCAAGAAAATATGTATCTATACCTCCACTCCCCCCATGTCTTCATGGCACAGTCTTAACTAAATTTTACTCTTCACAGTTTAAAAAATGCTACATCTCAAAATGTTAATTTTTTACTTTGATAGTTATTCCTGCACACCTTTCAAACTGTATGACCTCCTACCTGAAATGATGCAGAATTCATCATCCCCTATGTCCCAGGCATCACTAACACTATCTTGAAAGTCTTGAAAAGAGGTTGAACTTGAATTCCGCTGTCGATTCCCTCTTGGGTCTTTCTTTGGACTTGGCCTATGATAAATCAAACATCCAATTTGTACTGCTTTACTATAAACAAGACTTGGATAACATAACTCTCTCATGAGACTTGATGCCACACATCCCAGAAGTCCAGAAACATTTACTGTACTCAATTGAAAATTTTTCTCTCCAAGGATATAAGTATTTGATAGAACAGTCATCTGCAATGGTCACACAATCTAAGGTATGAAATGTCTTTGCCCACTCACACACTGGGACGGTGGGTTCAAATCCCACTGGAGTCATGAATGTCTGTCCGTGTTTCTTCAACGTTTGGATTTCTCTGTGTAGGTAGCAGCCTTGCAATAGGGCTGATCCCCTGTACAAGGTGTCCTACCAACCATCAATAAGATACATAGTTCCTTATAAATTATGATCTGAAGAGGCCACAGGGAAGTCAGCATTCTTGTCAGTATAGTGATTGGCTATGGACTTGATGGACCAGGTTTGATTCCTAGGAGGGCAAAATTTTTCTCTTCTCCACAGCATCAAGACTAGATCTGAGACCCACCCACCCTCCCATCCAACAGGTACCAGAGACGATTTCCCTGGGGGTAAAGCAGCTGGAGCATGAAGCTGACCACTCACGCCAATTAGACTCAAGGTCAGGAAAGGTGAAGCTATACCCCAACTACCATACATGTTTTTATAGTATAGAGCTTAATTAATTAAGCACATGAACAACTTTATGTTTTACAGGTCAGGCAGCCTAGTATGAAAGGTGGTGGCAGTGGTAAGGAGAAGATTTGATATAACCTTATTATCAAGGATACCATGTTGGTATCACTGAAGATTGGTCTGTAAAAATTATAGAGCTGAAGTGACTTACAGTGACACAACTTCCATATCAAGTTGGCTTGAAACCGACGACTGCACTAAAAATTCATAAGGATGCATATATTAATAGTATGTATATTACCTTCCTCTTCAGAAAACAATTAAAACATAAACAATTCAAATTCAATCTCACCTTCCTGGAACTGCCTTTATATTTTTCTTCCAAAATGAAGCTTTAGCTTCTTCAGAAACATTCTCTCCTATTCCATCCATATTACAGGCAGACAAACCTAATTCATTGTTTACTTTAAATTATAAGTAACAGTATTGTACTGAAGTATCCAAAGGAAAAATGTCACCAACTTAATTTTCACATTGTGAAAAATGTCACAGCTGTTATTCAATCTGAAATACAATACAACATAGTGAATTATACAAAACTCAAAGTAACACAACTCTCTTCTTATTATAGGTAGGAAAGCTCTATTACATGCATGCAGGGAACCATTCTGCNTTCAACAGATTGCCTATAACCATTCAAAGCCTTAAAGAGGATGGAATTAGTTTTAAAAATAGGCTGTTTTTATATCTTATGAATAATTCCTTTGATACAGTTTCTGAATATGTGGAGCATAACATAAACAATTAGTTTTAATTATTTTGTTATCGGTGTGTTTGTTTAAATTTTGTATGACGACCTTCATGTCCATTTGTTTGGACTTGTGAAATGAAATGAAATTTATGTATGTATGTATGTTTAACATGAATAATTACATATCAAAGAGAGGAAAAAATCTGTTTTCTTTCCTCACCAGCCACTATTCACTGTCACACTTCTCCTTTTGCTTATATGTGAATCAGTACACTTTGTCATGTTCATGGGTAAGAAGAATGTATGCCTCCAAAACATACAGAAGGAAATTCTAGTCCCTGAGAACAAAACACAATATTTCTACTAACAAGTCAATTGACTAGTACATATGACTAATATATTTTAAGAAATAATACCTCTTCTAGTATGAGATCTGGGGACATCTCAATAATGAATATTAAGACTGTGGTCATCTGGGATGTGATACAATGTGTTAATACCAAAGTTCTGGAGGAAACCTTCACCTTTAGCATACATGGAAGAGGTACCTATCTACCACAAAAGTTTTGTTACGGCAAAGAAAGGGAAGTCCTGTGTCAAGGTGATAGACTAGACGCTGTATTGACCTTCATTAATACTAATTATATGTATAGAATTACATGGCAATTTATCTTCCAAAGAAATATAACCTCACTACCTACACCGAAATGTTACCCAGCACACATATAAGCTAGCAGGAAGAACAAAAAATAAGAAGCGAAATACTCATTCCGAAAGTTATGAATTTCTCTGTGGGTGAAAAACAATTTGTCCGAACTTAGTGTAATTAGACCAAATTGTAAAAGTTAGGCAAGCAGTGGTGAACTATACTGAAATACAAGACACTGAATTCGTGAGTTGCCGCACGCCACACCACAAGCTCCAATACTGCATCAAATTATGTTTTTGGATTACAAGTTAATAATCTTTATATTTCTTCTGTATTACTCTCAGTTCTGTTTTGATCTTTGTTGATTCTAATGTTGACGTACACTAACATTCACTCCTGCTGCCATCTATTATTACAAATGCAATACAATCATAAACTCGGTCAATTTCGTCAGTTCGTCAGTTTGATGGTGTAACTGGTCTAAGTGTTATTCGGGTGTTTGGACTTTCAGATTGAAGAGATAATTATTGTTTTTGTTTGTACGATGGAAGGACAAGTTATGAAATCATTAGAAAGGTCATATTATATGACTGTATTTTCTAACAGCGATACACCGAAGAAGAATCATACTTCCATTTCTTTTATTTTAATGACAATAACTAGTGGAAAGTCACACCTGATATCTGACAGAAAGGTATAGGAAAAAATGCCGTTCCATGCAGCAGTTGAGTTTCAAGATGTGTTTCAGCACAAATCGGCAGCAGTCAGTATTTTGTAAATTCGCAATAGTGTGAAATACAGTCGAGAGGACACGAGGAAGGTATTCTTTGTCACATTATTAAGTTACTGGTTTACTTCGTGACATTTTATATTTTGGTCTGGCGCGTAAGTTAACATCTGGTATGGCCTAAATTACCATGTAAGTGGGTTATACGCATATTTCCCCCCCCCCCCTCAAAACCTTGAAAAGGGGAGCAGTAGTCTGTACACTGATTAATATAGCGTATGGTATTAGTGTAATTTTTAATATATCTTACCCATAACATGAGCCTAGCATACATTTCATGCAGTTACTACGTATCCGGGTCGTGAAACGGACAACTCAACTACAGTTATTGAGGAGATGAAGAATGGTGGAGCTGTGCCTCCACTTCCCAATGTCTTCATTTCATAGTGGTCAGTTAAGCAGGTAAAGGGCCAGGTGTGTGCAATTCTAGGTCTGTTAAGTGGATGTAACGAAAAAGGTAACAAATAATTGTGGAAAGTATAATTGAGGATAAATTTTAATTTCATTAAACTTACCGGTGATTGTTATGATGTAACATTAAACACAAAATTTCAAACTTAGGCCCACTATTGTTTACATTTTTCATGGTGCATAGGGTGAAAGTGCAGAATACAGTTTGCCTCCCCTCCTCCCCCTCTCCACTGTTAGTGAAGCTAACTTGACCAAACCAAACTTGGCCAAGAAGAAACAATTTCTCAGAAACTTGACATGGTAGGGAACCAAAATCATGCTCTGGGTTGTGAGATTTGAGTTTTTCTGTCAAATTGTAATCGGTATTGTTTGATGCTTTACAGTGATTGTTTACAATGATGTTGAGGTTGTGCAGAGGTTGTCTCCACAGATGAGATTCATGGTCCAGCATTTTTAATGTATGTACCATACATGGTCTGTTCAAAAAGTTTTGAAACTATTTTTTATAATTTTCTCAGACATGCCTGCAACTGAGTGAGGCTTATCGCCTTCAAAGTACTCCCCTCTTGCATTGAGCCACTTTGGGAAACGGGATTGCATGTAGCTCTGTGAATTTTCTGTAATCCCTAGAGTCATTGAAATCGTGGTCCATTGAAAGAGGATTTCAGTTTGAAAAATAAGAAAAAGAGTGCTGGAACCAGGTCAGGTGAGTAGGATGGCTGAGGAAGCACAGTTGTGTTCATGTTGGTCAAAAAGTAACAAATCAGTAGCGATGCATGAGTTGCACGTTGTCGTGATGGAGGGACCAGGAGTTGCTTCTCCACAACTGAGGTCTTTGTTTCCTGACATTTTCTCTTAGATGTTCTAGCACTTCAAGATAATAACAGTGATTCAGTGTGCCCCTGATGTAAGAATTCATGATGAACAACACCCTCAATGAAAAAACCCATCAACATGATTTTCACATTTGACCCAACCTGCCATGCTTTTTTTGGTCTCGCAAATTTTTTCCAACCCATTGTGAAGACTGTATTTTCTTTTCCAGATCATATCCATAAACCCATGTATCATCACCAGTTATAATTCTTATCAGAAAGTTTTCATCCTCACTAACATGATCCAGAAGTTCCTTACAGATGACAACATGACAGTCTTTCTGATCCTGTGTCAGAAGTTGTGGGACAAACTTGGAAAGTACTGGATGCATTTCTAATTTTGTTGTAAGAATGTCATGATATGATCGTATCGATATGTTGCACTGTTCTGCTATTTCCCGCACTGTCAAACGATGATTAGAACACACTGTTTCACAAATTTGTTCAACATGAGCATTGCCACATGACATTGAGGGCAGAAACTTTACAATGTCAGGTGTATTTGTAGTTAGACCAGTAGAAATTAATGGTTTAATTACCCATGAAATAATACACCAAATTCAGTGAGTGTATCTATCAGAAAGACTGCCTTCTCCCAAATCATTACATGCAAATTAATGATCATCTCCAGCCTCATTCAGTATACATCTGTGGTGTTAAACAGCATGCTTAAATAACCTAAGAATCAAATCCAATTTCATCTTGATAAAAAGTGGTCTTTATATCATCACTGTCATGGAAAGATCACACCATTCAGAGGGAAGTTCACTTGAATCACTTTTCTACCCTTTGTTGATACAACCTTTAATTGCATTAGCAGAATGTTGCCCTTGCATAACTATTGGCCTTCTGCAAGGAAGCTATGTGGTTTTCTTCTGCCAGTGAAGGACAGTTTAGGCTTGAAGACACTGGACATTTTACAGCATCCTGAGGAAGTGTGGATAAATTCATATTGGGTCTTCATCATCTGGATAAGTTGGCTGTAGCAGAAGAAGTGGCCATCACATCCATTTTCAGATTACCAATGTCTTTGTCAGAAAATCCTGATGCATGGATTGTATCATCAGGCAAGCAGTAGAGATTTAGCGTCATCCCAACAGCATGAACAGAGAGGAGGGCCCCCTCCCTGTAATGAAAGCCCCTTGTGAATCTCATCTATGATGGGGTACCCAAAAGAAACCGAACTAATTTTTTTGTAGGCAGAGCTTTTGTAGTACCGCGTTTTGCCGCTATGAGCGCATAGAGCTAACATTCCTGAGTCGATAAGCCGACTACTGTTGCTTCAGAAGGTAAGGACTAGTTTCGGCAGAGTTTATAGTGACAACTGTTTTGTGTGATCGTCGTTTTTGCAATGACTGATTTTCGTGAACAGCGTGCGGCGGTGAAATTCTGCTTTTTGCTCGGGAAAAGTGGAACAGAAACTCTTGAAATGTTAAAAACGGCGTACAAGGACGATGCTGTGGGGAAAACTCAAGTGTTTGAGTGGTTTTCCCATTTCAAAAATGGTGAAATGTCAATTGATGACGAACCTCGTTCTGGTCGTCCTTCCACGGCCCAAACACATGAAAATGTTGAAAAAATTCGTGAAATCATCGAGGAAGATCGACGACAGACCATTGAAGAAATTGTGGAGCTGTTGGGAGTGACTTGGAGCTCAGTTCAGCGAATGTTGACAGAAGATTTGGGAATGAAAAGAGCGGCTGCAAAATTCGTGCCACGACTGCTGACTGCTGAACAAAAACAAGGAAGCATGGAAGCATGCTGTGCTTTGAAAGAAGAGTCCCGAAATGATCAAAACTTTTTTTTTTTTAAATTATCACCGGTGATGAAACCTGGTGCTATGCTTACGATCCTGAATCAAAGCAACAATCAAGCCAGTGGAAGACTTCAAGTTCGCCTTGCCCCAAGAAAGCTCGTCAGGTGAAATCAAACATGAAAACAATGCTGATTTTTTTTTCCGATGTGAGAGGAGTCGTCCATTCAGAGTTTGTTCCGCAGGGTCAGACAGTTAACCAGGCTTTCTACTTGGAAGTTTTGAAAAGATTGCGCAACAGTTTGCGGTGGAAGCGGCCAGATTTGTGGCAGTCGGGTGACTGGTTTTTCCATCATAACAATGCCCCTGCTCACACAGCCCTGTCTGTACGACAGTTCTTGACCAAAAAGGGTATGACCTCTGTTCCTCACCCTCCATACTCACCCGACCTTGCCCTGTGTGATTTTTTTTTGTTTCCTCGAATGAAAAGAGACATGAAAGGAAAAAATGACAGAGGCGCTGTCAAGCATCTCAAAAGATTAATTTAGACAATGTTTTGAAAAATGGAATAAAAGACTACTTTGAAGGGGATTGAAGGTTTGTGCTTAAAATTTGAATAAATAAGTTTAAAAAAAAATAAGTTCGGTTTCTTTTGGGTACCCCCTCGTACATTCTGATGCAACAGAACAGGTTCTATCTAAGAACAAGCTGTGATACAGGTTTCTCTCGGCTGGTTTTTATAAGAGCTCTGCCTGAACTTGTCTTATCAAGGTTTCTTTTCCACTTTCTTTTCTTATAGTTCAAGGTGGCACCAGCAATAATGCTTGTGAGTTGTATGTCAAGGGCACCTGGTTTAAATTTTGGCCAGGACACTGATTATCCTGAAAGTGGGTTTTGCATAGTTTTCCATAGTCCCTTCTGAGATGCTGCTCCAGTCATGGAAGCACATTAGTGTCTGGGTAACATCATCGAGGATAATGTAGTGTGTATTCCTGTGTAGCAGTGCCAGATTGACTTACAAGTACCAATGGTTAAGAGTGTTAAGAGCATGTTGCAGTATTTATTGTGTGTATATTCTGTTATCATTTGATCACAGCTGAGCCCGGCTCTATACTGTGTGTCTTGAGTACAGCAAACAACTCGCCATGTTTCATCATGACAACACTGCTGTGACTTATGTTACCTCATTTGACAGGGCTTTTCTAAAAAAAAAATGGGTCCCATGATATATGTTGTAAATAATGTTTTTTACTTATTTTTAACGAGTAATCAGCACATGGAGAGTTTGTGCTCCAATTTTGTTTCATGTGTTATATATGCTATGTGTTCTTTCTCCTTCAAGGCAGGTAAAACTGGATGCCAGAAGTTTACTATTGCACAACCATGTTTACCTTACTCTGTATATTAGCATGTTAAGTTACTTTCCATTGTGCATATATGAGTGTGAATACATTATGTGCTTGTGATTTACGTTTTTTATTGTAATTTGATTTAATTGAAACAAATTGTCCACTAAGTGTAGGCATGAGGTTGTCTCTCTCTCTCTTGAATGCTTGCTCTCTCAATTAGACTCTTCCAAGAAATTAAACGTAATTGAAGGTACTTTGTGAATTAGTATAAGGTGCCTTCTATCAAGCCTAATTATAAGAGGCCAGTCAAGAAGTCATGTAGTTTTGTTCAGGGAGTATGGATGGTCACATTGACTGCTGAGGTACATACATTTTCTGATATTAAATTGCATTCCATTTTACAAATTAGAACATTTTTACAGCTATAATTAAATTTTTTTGAAGTGTGCATAGTATTAACTTCATGTCAGAATTCTGAAATTTTGCTTTCATAAAACTGTAAGTTCGGTGGTAGTCTCATATGGTGTATACAAGTTTTCACTGAACTTTTGTTGTTAGCTGTATCAGGATGTGGGTGTTTAATAAACAAAAATCAATTTGTGTATTGGGAGGAGTCACATACTTTAATAGGTTTTTTGGACTTTTTCCATCCTCAGGTGAGGGGAGGAAGACACCTACTCAGTTGGGTCCCTTAGAAAGAGCTAATCTCAATCACTGGATGATGGAAAAAGTCCAAAAATACAGTAATTCTGAGTATTATATACCATTGTCAGAATCCTTTAGAATCTATGCATACTTAGCTTGATTGTGAGAACCATTACTAGGTCTCCTTTATAAATTACCTTAATACATTAAGAAAATTAGAAGACTGAGATGAGACACATTTTTTTTATTGCTAATGGGGTGGGACTAAGTCCCTTGTACTGCGGCCACTTCTGGCCTATTGTACCAGCCCCAGATGATAGGTGAGGGTGATTGTGGAGCAATTGGTGGAATGAAGATTGGCAGGGGAAACCGAAGTACTCGGAGAAAACCTGCCCCAGCACAACTTTGTTCACCACAAATCCCACTTGACCAGACCTGGAATCGAACCCGGGTCACCACGGTGGGAAGCCAGCGACTAGATGAGACACATACAAAATTGTAATAAAAATCCTGAAGAGATGAGACCACCAAGGAAACCTAGCCATAGATAGGAGGATCATATTAAAATAGATCTTGAAGTTAGGATATGAGGATGAAGACTGATTATATCTGACTCAGCATAGAGTCCATTGGCAGGCCGTTGTGAACATGGTACTAAATCCTCAGGTTCTATGTTTGTTCCTTCCTGTTTTCACCAGTTAACATTACAGGCATGAGACGCAGCTGAGTGACATTCATGGATTTTCTTTTAACATACTGGAAACTGGGAGTTGTTTCTAGCAAGAATTGTGAAAGTAGGTAGGAGTTTGAAGTTCTGTGCATTTCTCTGGTATTGTGTATTATTTTGAAGAAAATTCTGCCAGATCCTAGATGAAAGGTACATTTCTCAAGTGTGGAGTCAACTGTAATCTCATTTGCTCGTAAGTATTGTGGCGTGTCACCTAAAAGCCGGATTATATGATGTCCATTGCTATGCAACAGCTACAATAAGGGCATGTACTTCAGTGGCAACAAATACATAGGAAGACCACTACCTAGGAAATTGCCTAGGCAATAGAGACAGAATTGTTGAGTTTCTGCAGCAACATATACACTAGCCAATGCTGCATTGAAGACAGACAGAACCCTTGGACAAGGTGTTCTCTCAACAGTACATGAAGATCTCCTTTAAGAGGTTAGATTGCGACAGTCAGAGGAGTTATCAGAGACGATGGACTAGTCAGGTCGCATCGCCTGGAAGAAGTTATGTCAGAGTGATTGTAGTGATTGCAAGTGTAATTGTGAATGAGTTGTCCAATAAAACAGCTTCATCTGAATCTGCAACTGTCACTGAACCCCAAGCACGTGACAGTAGTCTTCATTGCTGTTACTTTGCAGACAAGAATCTTGAATAACAGACCAAGCAGTAAGAAGGTGTAGGGCTAGCAGCAAGGATGAATGTGTGTTTCCTGTATTTAAGATATTCATGTTGTGATTTTGGTTATGACCTGCCAGACAACATGAAGTCATATCATGTCATAACTGAGAAAATACATAATTTCTCCTAAAATCATCATGGACCCTATCTTTCCAACCCTAAGGCACCTTCTCTTATGAATTAAAATAGTAAAGTATGTAAATTATGTTATAAAATTAGTCTAAGAATTGTGCTTGTTTCAGAAAGAAAAACGGTCATTCATAAGTAACTCCTTCATTCTCTCTTATATGATACAAGAAATATTCTACGATGGACAACACTGATGCAGATGATGAAGTAAGTTTGCTGGAAGGACATGTAACCTTACAAGGGCAGCTATATATTATCATGTATTTAGTGCCTAGACATGGGGATTTGGATTGGTAATTGGGTTTGTTGGACTTTTGAAACTTTTAACAACAATTATACCACTACTGCTGATTCTCACACACTACAATCCACTGCAGCGTGCACTAAGTCTTCTCAGTCTGCTTTCTCCTCACTGTTTATCACCTGGTAATGGCTTGCAATGCCATAAATTTCTTGGCTTCCATGTTATATGTCTCTGGTCCTTAATGGCTGCTGTCTTGTCTTACACTACTCCTCATTGTTGCAACTCCTGGCTATTATCTGCGTCCTAGCTGTGCCTGTCCACCACTGGAAAGTACTGACTGCTTGCAGACTGACAATCTTGACTGCTAACCACTCAGTGCAGCTCTCTTTTGGTGCCTGTTATATAACCTCAGGGTGGATTGCATAGAGAACACCGCTCCAACAGTTCTGGTGTGCATTTCTTCTCCAACAGTTCCTCCACTGTTGCATCAGCTTTTTTGCCCCAGAAATTTGTTTACAGCGCCGTTACTTGGCAATGGACGTCTTTTCATCTTACATTGTTCAGGCTTTCAGCCATCATGTCACAATATGAGTAACTTCCAGAAATTTAAAATCCCTTTACTTTTTAACTAAAAAATTACTGTTGTAAGCTAAGAAGCCTATTTGTATGTGTCCTATTTGAGGGATCTAATGTCCCTGATTTGTATGATTTACACGTACATGACTGTACTGTCAGTTATGTATTATTGAATTTTTAAAGGCTACAGGTGCCTTAAAAATGTTTTATCAGGATCATGTGCATTGTAGAATAGAATATATGAAGGGTAGGCCTTCTCGGCCCTTGCAATATCATAACCAGTGAGGTTTTTCCGAGGTACGATTATTGCTAGTTGAAAACTTATCTGCATTGTATGTGCAAATAATAAGAACAAGTATGCTAATTTGTAATAGAATGATCTGCAAGGGAGGAGGAACTGAAACTGTTGAATGGGCGGTACAGAAGCAAGATATTGTCACAATTTAAGTGACTAGACATGGGATTTGGGTTAGTAATTGGATATATTGAACTCTTGCAACTTGTGACTGCAAGTGCTTATAGTGCTTTTGCTAATTCACACGCTCAGTTTCTCACTGCAGCACGCACTAAGTCTTGTCAGTTTGTCCACTGGTGGTTTCCTGGTAACGGATCCCAACAGTCGCCTCTTTTGTCTATGTCATTATTGGCTGGCAACTATCTCACATATAACTCATGGCTCCGGATGTCCTCACATTCTTGAGTACAACTCTTCAGAAAGTCAAAGCCAAAGTTAAAGTCATGTTATGACTGACGGTCAGTCGGCTTGTTTGTTTTGGTGTCAATCCCCCATCTGGGGCCCAAGACCAGATTTACGTTACTGTCAGAGAGTTGCATGTTGAGGTGGGGTACCCTCTCTGATGAGAGGACAGATATGTAATTTACAGATGCTGCTGGCCTTCACCAGCACAGTCGTTCTCGGGTCCAAGTCCCGCAGGATTTATGACCACATTTTATTGCCTCAGATTCGACACTCCACCAACCTGGAGGGCCAGGTTGCCGTATTTGTATCACCCAGGGACAGGGTGGTCCAGTTATACCCCCAAGCACTGGGTTCCCTTTTCTTCACCTCCTACAACTTGCAGGGATGCGGTGGAGATATTCAAACTTGCCTTCACATGTGGAAACTCTTCAAACAGCTGGGTGCTGTAGCTATGTAGCCTCGGGCCAGACCCAATAGAAAACACCTGTTCCAACAGTACTCTACCGTGGGGGTCATGTGTTCATTGTTGTTCCTTAGCAGCGACCGTCTCTACCGGCTCCACTATCCCAGTCTCTCAGCTGCCAAGTTACAGTATGTTCACACAAACCTCTCCCCTGAAAGTAAAGAAGAATGCTGTACTCCCACCTGTTTGTCAAAATATTGATGAACTTGTTTGAATTTGTCATATTAAATGAAGGGTGCCTAGAAAATAAGTTCACATGAAACATGCCTTTGAAACCTTAAGTTCCATTATTATATTTAAGCATCCTGTTGCACTCCATATGATAAATGATATAATGATACAAATTCTATCCCAAGTGCAAACAATATATTATGTGTCCTTGATCTTGTTCCTCTACACTACATGTTTCGGCCTCAGACGGCCATCATCAGGTATATAACACTCACGTTGCTGTCACACTGCACCCAGCCCAAAATTTAACATTTAAAACACTTTCCTTGTTATTATCAACATCTACTTCGTTGATATCTGTCTGGTTTGTAGATTATTTTACACACGTTAATTTTGACATACCGGTAGTAGCACTATAAAATCTTTAGTTCTAATGTTAAAATCCTTTAAAATTTTTCTTTTTCTCTAAATTTTAAATTTAAAATTGTTAGGGTTACTCGCCCTATGTCTTAAGTGCCGCAGCGGCTAGTTCTTGTTTCCACACTGTATAGGTGTTATCCTGTGTAGTCTTCCTGTGTGCGTGCCGCTGTTATTCTTTAGTACGTGTGGCTGTCTGAAGCCGAAACATGTAGTGTAGAGGAACAAGATCAAGGACACATAATATATTGTGACATGTTGCGCAAAGCCGAGCCCCCCCCCACACCAGCAGTGACGCGGCGGGTGAGTCAGCGCTCCCCTCCCACCCCTCAGCGGTAACGTA